AGGGAGGAAACATTTAGGAACTAGAGGAAAGTTGTATTTTTCATCATTGCTACATCGCACCCTGACTGGCTCATCTAGTGATTTCTTATTGATATGAGTTTCCTATAGACTTGATTATTAAAACTTATTTCCCTTCTCATTTTTAAGGCAAACCATGTAAAATATTTGATCCACATGATTTCCTTTCTCCTTCTCTTTTATGTTAGTTTTCTCCTCCAAGTGGTTATTTTCATTCAGCCTGTTAAGTTAAATCCCATTCTTACAGATAATCTGCAGAGACCATGTGCTGGTAAATATATTTTAGCAAAAGTTATACGAGATGCCCTGAAAAACAATTTTAAATATAAAACATAAGGAGTCATGGTAACATTTATACATACACAAATCATAAATTTAAAAAGTACCTCATAGCCAAGTAAATGCCCATTACTCAACTTCCAAGGAATGGTGCTCCATGAAACTTCAATCTCTGAGGAAGATAAGCTATTTGCAGAAACTTGAGATGGAGCTATCGTAGGCTCTATTTGGAAGTGGAAATTAAGATGCAGTTAAAATTTGGGCAGCTAATTTTAAAACTCTATTAACATATAATTAAAAATAATTCAATATTTTACAAATATTATAAAATATTCATCAATAATATCTAAACACACGGATCATTTTGTTAATAAATTTACTGAATTGAGTTCCCTAAAGATGATGTTGATGTCCTTAATCCTTGAACCTGTGAATGACTGACTTTATTGAACATTTTTAGCACTGAGAACTGTGGGCAACCTCAAGGACCTTTGCAACTTACCACAAGGTCTAGAGCAGTGGGTCTCCACCTTCCTCATGCCGAGACCCTTTCATACAGTTCCTCATGTGGTGGTGACCCCACCATAAAATTATTGTCGTTGCTACTTCATAACTGTAATTTTGCTACTGTTATGAATAGTAATGTAAATATCTGATATGCAGGATGTATTTTTATTATTACAAATGGAACATAATGGAAGCATAGTGATTAATCACAAAAACAATATGTGATTTTATATTTTGAAATATTTCTTTCTAATGACAAATAAATGAAATTTTGTCTTGAAGCACTGCGTAGCATGGGTAACAGTCTTCACCCCAGGTACGCGTATGCGGGCATATCTGCATGTGGGCGGGCCTGCCTGGAGACACGCATAGGGGAGCGGTGTCTCAGTTCCTGAGATTATCGGAATTATGTGTTTTCCAATGGTTTTAGGCAACCCCTGTGAAAGGGTTGTTCGACCCAAAGGGGTCACGACCCATGGTCTAGCAGGTAGGGGAGCAACTGAAATCATATTTACTGAGCCCAATAGTGGCTAAATAGAATCGCTCTGGGTTTAAACACTCGCTCTGTCACGTAGGGCACGGAGTTGGGCCCATTGGCCAGGCTCTTTCCTCAAACTTCCATTGTCCTGTATGTGAATGAGGAATAGCACCTGATCCTCATCCGCAAAGTCCAGTGTCTTACACTTTATGAGCATGCTCTGAATCTCATTATGACTTTACCATGGCTCCCTTAAAGAAATACATATAAAGAACTTCCAAAGCAGCGTTTGCAGCACATCGGGTGCCTGCACCTGGATTCCTATGTGATATTATCATGTTTCCCATACCTTCCTCTGCAGAGAACACGGCTGCCACCGGGCTAAATGGTCCTTCTCCTTTGTTATTATAAACGCCCACTTTAACTTCATAGCGTGAAAACGGCAGGATGCTTTCATTCCGAAAGACGTATCTGGAGATATCAGGGGAGGTCACCACTGTCTGGATCCAGTTGGTCACCCCATAGGGGCGGAAAGCAACAACATACCCAAAGCCCGCACCATTCTGAAGTTCTTCAGGGACTGGCTGCAAAGGGAAGATAAGCCTGGTCAGCTTGACACTGGGGACAGAGCAAAACTGGGCGGAGCTCGAATCTTCATCAAACTTTCCATGAATAATCTCTATTGTATTAAGCAGCTGAATTAAAAAGCAAGCACCAGTGGAAGAGTCGGCTGCTTTTTAAATAAGTATGTCCACTCCTTCACAGCCATCCAGTTAATAAATTCGAACTAGCACATAGGAATTTAAAAATGTGACCTCCTGATTCTACCTCTGAGGAGTCCTGGTGGCATACTGGATTCGCTCTTGGGCTGCTAACCCAGTTTGGAACCGTTAGCTCTGCTGGAGGAAGATGAAGCTCTCTACATCCTTGAAACGTTCCAGTCTCAGCAATGCACAGGGCCATTTCTACTCTGTCCTACGGGCGCACAAGGAGTTGGCATCCATTGAATGGCAGTACAACCTTCCACCATTGCCAGCAGCACCATTCAGGGAACCAGGATCATCCATGGGAGCAGTGCTCTGAAGGGAAAGATGCTGCCCAAGTACTTACATCCCAGGTAATCACGAGTTCAGATCTGCTTCCACCTCCTCCACTGACTTCTGAAGGTGGCACTTCTGGAACTGTGTGGGTCAGAGACACAGAGGTGGGTCCTTCTTTGCATTTAGTAAGATGACTATAACATTAACAATTCTCAACTGCAAACAAAATAGGGGGATGCTGCATGGTTTCAAATCTAGAAAAATATCAGTCAGGGTTGTATTCTTTAACCGTACTGATTCGATATGCATGCTGAGAATTTTCTATCTGTCATTTGAGAAACTGGGCCATGTGGAGAAGAACACAAGACCATGGTTGGAGGAAAACTCACTGACAACCTGCAATAAACAGATGACACAACCTTACTTGCTGAAAGCGAAAAAGACCTATAGCAGTTACTGATAAAGATCAAAGATTTCAGAATAGATCAGATGGCAGCACAAAGGAAAGAGAAATCTACAACTAGACCAATAGATAACATTCTCATTAATAGAGAAAATGTTGACGTTGTAAAGGATTTCATTTTACTTTCCACAAGCAGTGCCTATGGAAGCAAAAGTAAGTGAATTAAATGGAATATTGGATTGGGCAAATTTGCTTTACGTCACTTCTTTAGAATATGAAAGAGCCAAAGATGTCACTTTGAGCACTAAGGTGTGTCTGACATTTTAAATTGCCTCACATGCATGTGAAAGAGAGAAAATAAATACAATCAGTAAGGCACAACAGGAATTGATGCATTGAATGCTGGTAGGTATTAGCAAAGAATATTGACTATAACAGAATAAGCAAATCTGTCTTGGGAGACATACACTCAGAATGCTTCATATAAGAATGTATTTCACATATTTTGTACATTTATTAGGAGGGATAAGTCCCTGGACAAGGACGTCATGCTTGGTAAATTAGATGGTCAATAAAAAAGGAAGATCCTTAATGAGATACATTGATACAGTTGTTCTAGAAATAGGCTCAAAGACACCAAGGATTGTGAGGAGCTATATGACTGGGAATATTTCATTCTGTCATGTCTAGGTCACGCTAAGTGGGCAGCAGGATTAGAGGAAGGCGCAGTAACAAACTGCAGCATACAGATGACACTACCTTGCCTGCTGGAAGTTAGGAAGACTTGAAGAAGTGGCCGATGAAGAACAATGGTTGCAATCTTCAGTGTGGAGGCCAACTCAATGTAAAGAAACCCCAAACCCACACAACTGGACCAATCAAAAACATCAAGATAAATGGAGAAAGGATTGACTGTGTCAAGGAGTTCATCTTGCTTGGACCCACCATGAATGCTCATGAAAGCAGCAGTCAAAAGACCAAAGGACTCACTGCATTGGGTAACTCTGCTGCACAAGATCTCTTTTAAGTGTTGAAAAGCAAGGACGTGACTTTGAGAACCTTAAGGTGTGGCAATGGTATTTTGAATCACTTCATATGCATGTGAAAGTTCGACACTGAATAAGGAAGACCAAGGAAGAATCGGTACATTTGAATTATGGTGCTGGTGAAGAATATTGAAAGTACCACTGGCTGCCAAAAGAACAACCAAGTCTTTCTCTGAAGAAGTGCAGCTAGAATGCTCCTCAAGGCAAGGATGGCAAAACATCATGTCCTGTACTTTTAACATGTTGTCAGGAGAGACAGGAATCTGGAGAAGGGCATACTGCTTGGGAAAGTCGAAGGGGAGCCAAAAGGAGGAAGGCCCCCAACAAGACAGACTGACACATGGGCTCAAACATAGTGACGGATGTGAGGATGGCACAGGATTGGACTCTGTTTCCTTTCGTTGTGTATACAGTCATCGGGCATTGAAACTGACTCCATGGCGCCTGAAAACCACCAGATCAGAACAGCCTGGAGGGTACAACAGCTATGACCTGAAATGAGAGTCATCGTTGCTTATTTTACTATTGACTTATTACATATACATGCGTTTATCTTGGTAAATCAAATGATTTATACTTGCATGATATTATAAAGATGCTTTAAAAACTCTTAAACAATAAGAAAATAGAACTCACTTGGAAGATAGTGTTTGAATATTATGAAGGTTAATAAAAAGGGAAAAGCTATTTGCTAGGGATGATGGAAAAATCAATCCAACATAACGATTTAACCTGTAACTTTTATAGGTAGATACTATTCTCAGAACATTACTGGC